TATAGCAAACCTCCATAACAAGTCTAACATGATAATCTCCGTGTGACGTGCTATCGAGGTTCTACAGTAGTATTACACACAGGATGTTTGTCAGAGATTCTCACATTCCACACGTTCAAGTCACCAATTACAACAACACCTTGTAGCGGATTCGACGATTCATTAGCTTGGCTTTCTCTACTGACATGGTTTTCATATTTCCTCTTGTTATTTTTGTGAACTTCACGTTACTATTCTTCCCGTATTGTTGTTTCTGTAACATAAGATCCGTAATTTTAAGAAAGGTTACCGAATTTTCCGTTACAGCCTTGACTTGTCCTTGTAGTAGATAAGGTTTCGTCCCAGTTTTGGATTCCTTCAAGGCAAATCGACCTTCAGGACCTTAAAATAATACATTTTGCCATGTCAAACCACACAATTTTCACCACCTATTTTTTGCCAAGTAAAACGATGCACTCATATGAGTTATGGCTTTGTCTGGTAACAAAATAGTTAAACGAAAACGAGAAAGTCATCCCAAGATGATAGAGAAGATTTAAGTCGACATCGTGCATCAGCGCATTCAAAGCCCCGAGTAGCCTATAATACGCTCGTCGTTAATAAGCTTCGGATTTGACTATTCTATGAGAAGTAATCTTGTATTCAAAGTCAATTAAGGTTGTTTACGTCCTCATGACGCAGTAAATATGCACATTGTGCATCATTGACTTTAGATACTGCAAGTAACTTCTCTTCATATTATGCATGTGTGCGTGAGTATGTGTCTGTGTGTGTGTTTGTCCGGTTAGACTTAAATGTGACTGAATATTTATATTATTTCAGGATACATTACTTATAGTTTTGTTATATTTGTATTATTTTTTACCTAACCTTATTGTAATCTGTTTTTATAAGACCTGTCCAAAACCAGGTCTTTTTACTATAAAATAACGATATTTTGTTTGGTATCAACAATGAATAGGTCAACGACGAAATGGTATTAGTGTCTATAATCTACCCTGCGTTTATATTATGATTTAAACAACAAATTTCAATTTGAAGTGTAGGGGAACGCTTCAGCAATAGTGCTACATAATGGCACTACGCCACAAGTTCGAAGCCCTACGTTATATCGTATATAAAATATTTAGTCGTGTATTAATCTATGGCACTATATATTGTGTTGCCACCTACAAATGCTACAAACCAGGTGTCAGATGCCATGAGTCAGTTGTTAGAACCAGTTGAATGGTCCTGCGGTTATTGCTAGCCAGCTGATTGGACAGCTGATTTAACTAGTAGGATTCATTGCGCAATTAGTAAAACGTCAAATGATGAGTTATAGCACAGATTATACATTATTTATTTTCCTCATTGAGCAATTTAAATGTTTTAATGTTAGATTATTCCTGTGTATGTCCTGTGCAGAGCGTCTCGTTGTTTACTATCAATTTGGGCAAGCATACTCATAGATTTATCATCCTTAACAATTAGAAAATTTGAAACTGGACCCAGGTGTTCCTGATCATTGGGCTTTAAATCAATGATCTTGGCTGATTAAACAGCTGATCTCAAAGCTACAAAGATCGTCTCACTCCATTCTATACTCATACTTCACTCATATTTGGGTTAAAATACGCACCTGGGTGGCGTCCTCATCTCAATAATTGATGGTTTGATTGTCAAATATAAGTACCTGTATCTTCACCTCTTACAACCACTTAGACAGTTTAACATTTTGGTCGTTATATATTTTGAAAATGTGTTTGTAATCAAAAGGTCGCCGGTTTGATCCTGAGAAAAGTCAGTAGCTTTGTTATGGTTCGGAACTGGTCCCAGCTGTTCCTGATCATTGGGCTTTAAATAAATGATCCTGACTAATGAAACCGCTTATCTTAGTCAGTAACAAAGCTACACAGATCATCTCACACCATTCTACACTCATCCTTCACTCATATTTGGGTTAAAATACGCACGTAGGTAGCGTCCCCATCTCAAATGAAAAATGTAAATAATATGAGTATCCTACTTTAGCACCTCACTTCATTTATCTTCATCTCCCACTAGACTTAAGATCAAAACCACTGAGTTAAAAACTTATACAGGGTGAATTGTACTCAGTGTGACACAATTTTTTTGATGTAAGTACAAAGTAAATGAAGTGTGATGATGCAAATCAAATGTTCCAAGTCTCAAAATTAGCGTCCCAAATAATTATTTTATGTTTTTCAAAAATAACCATGCTTTTAAACTTAATACAGCGATTTATCAATTACCTGTATATGGATTTGAGTAGATAATGTCATTTTCGTGTTCTACATTAAATTTTGAACAAGAATAATGGAAAATTACGGAGGATCAGTTGTAAAAACTTCATTGTAAATCGATTCAAAGATAAAAATTAAGATATTTGATAAAAATTTTAAAAACAATGGTCCATTGCATTTTTCACACCCTGTATACAAGAAAGTGTCGGAATATGTTAAAAACTGCGCCATTTTATAAGCTTTCCAACCATATGCTACACTATTGAGGTTTAGATATTTTTTTGTTTGTTTTAGTGGTTTGAATACCAGAAAACAGGGAACTTTTTTACTGTTTTTACTGTTCAAGCTGAATCAAAAATACAACTTTTGCTTAATACATGCCGGCTTTCTATGTTTTAAATGTTAAAGACACCATGCTTTGTAGTCTTCAAACCATTAAAGCGTACATAAGGAGACATAAACCTCAATAGTGTAGCATATCGTTGGAAAGCTTATAAAATGGCGCAGTTTTTAACATATTCCGACACTTTGTTGTATACAGGGTGTGAAAAATGCAATAGACTATTGTTTTTCAAATGTTTATCGAACATCTTAATTTTTATCTTTGAATCTATTTACAATGGAGTTTTTACAACTGATCCTGCGTCATTTTCTATTATTCTTGTTCAAAATTTAACGTAGAACACGAAAATGACATTATCTACTCAAATCCATATACAGGTAATTGATAAATCGCTGTATTAAGTTTAAAAACATGGTTATTTTTGAAAAACATAAAATAATTTTTTGGGAAGCTAATTTTTAGACTTGGAACATTTGATATGCATCATCACACTTCATTTACTTTGTACTTACACCAAAAAATTTTTGTCACACTGAGTACAAATCACCCTGTATAATATTAGTTCGAGCACACTATCACACGCACTGTGTCAAGTGCCCGTATTTTCGGGTCTCCGGGTCAACATTCTTCCAACACCCGTTATTTACACCCCGGGTCTAATTTGGCCCTGATTCACATCTAGCTCGTAAAAGAGGCCTACATTGATTCCGTCACCTGTCGTCCATTCTGTTTCGTCCTTTATACGTCCTCGCACCGTTACGCGTCTTACACTTCAGAATTGATGACATTTTCAGTCGTACAGAAGGAAGGATTATTGCATGAGTCCTTGAATTGCTGATCAAATAACAGAAGAATGGTTTAATTTTGGTTTGGAAGTTTTGTAATAGCCTTATTGTCTATGCAAGACATTTTGGATCCACTAATCATATTTTATTCAACAAAATAAGCTGAGTTATAGTGTTTTCTTATCCATCCGAAAGTCGGAACTAATTGAAAATCAAGAACTGAAGAGGTCAACAAAATAAAAGACGCCCTTTTTATTTGTCTAAGTATTGCTGCAATCTACTTCGTCAAATAATTTATTATTTGGCCTTGTGGCTATCTGAATTTGGTTCCACAAATAAGACGATCAAGTCACTAATTCACTATTTACAAATTTGGTGATTGCAAGAAATCCCCTAAAAGTGATGCAGAACCTTGTCCTACTCCTGGTAATCGCAGGAAGTATGAATGTGTTGGATTAATGACGAGGTTGCGGTTACGTTAAAGTTAATTTGTTTACTCCCTTTGATTAGAAAACGAATTTGGAATTAACAGAAGTGAAATAAATTTTTTGCCTTTACTATTTCTTTTTCCTTACAATGTAAACAATGTGGTGCAATGGTTACAATGTGTTTTTCCTTGTTTTGCTGTAAACGATCCACGCACGGGCTCTTATTCTATGTGGACTGGCAAATGCAAGGTTAAAAGAGGCCGCCAACCTCTTAAAAAAAATTACATTAAATTTTTAAATCTCCAAAAGGCCAGTAAAGCTAGCAATATAGTAAAATACCCACATTTGGCAACACTGTTTGGAATAAACTTTGAGATATGGTAATAAAATAATATCTTTATCTTTTATTAACTTAATTTCAAGACAATTAAAACTGAACCTTGTTTTATGTTCTGCTTGTCTGACCTGTCATCCATAGAGTACAAAGTTCGCATGTAACTCACCTCCTTACTCTATGCACTCCCCGTGGTTCCTCAATTCTCGCCGTGGTCCACGGGCCGGACCTTGACTGCGAGGACGCTGCTGCATCTAATGTCCCGCGGAACAAATTGGGGGACGATTGTGTATCATTTCGCTTGAAATTCGTCCCTCCAAATTTCTTGAAATGTCAAAGCCGTGGTCCTCTTATGAAGTTTTTAAGTTGTTAGTAATTTTGTTAATATTGGTTAGGAGATTATTTTAATAAAAATACAGCTGATTGGACTATTTATTTGTCTGCAAATGAGATGGGTTAAGGGTGTGGAGGGGGATTTAGTTTTACTTTACAAGGAGAAGGGGGTTGAAAAAATATGTGCAGACGTATCTCATCCAAACCAGTAACTAAAGTAATTTACACTGTAGTGGCAACGGCCTGGGCCTCATTTTTCGTAAGAACCTCTTATGTCCTAGACATTTTTTTTGCTAATGCTAATGCTTCCCTACATTATACTTTCCACCTCTTCCCTCTTAAAAATACTGTATTATTTTTTATTTTCGGGTTTTACACCTGACCCCATGTTGCATGGCACAGTTTAGAACGTAGAAGAATGATTGATTTATTTATTATCTTAGCAGAGGCAATACTGTGTTTTCAAATTTTGGACAATAGAGACCTACATAGTGCATTCAATATGAAAAACTAATCATTCATTTGTTACAGGAGCTAGCGGCTCAATGGTGTCCCGTGAGATGGTAAAGGGGAACAAGCACAAGGAGCTATGGGAGCTAGAGCGGAGGTACAGTGTGGCGGGGGAGGCTGTGGCCACCTCAGACCTCATCAACAGACCCCCACCACCATCTGCAGGGATGGTGCCCTCTGCCTCAGAGGACCTGCACGCTTGGTCTATATACAGGTAGGTGGTAGATAATAACAAGCTCTACAATCTACGGGCGTTAGAGCGGAGGTACAGTGTGGCAGGGGAGGCTGTGGCTACCTCAGACCTCATCAACAGACCCCCACCTCCATCTGCAGGGATGGTACCTTCTGCCTCAGAGGACCTGCACGCTTGGTCTATATACAGGTAGGTGGTAGACAATAACTAGCGCTACAATCTAAGAGGGGTTAGAGCGGAGGTACAGTGTGGCAGGGGAGGCTGTAGCCACCTCAGACCTCATCAACAGACCCCCACCACCATCTGCAGGGATGGTACCCTCCGCCTCAGAGGACCTGCACGCTTGGTCTATATACAGGTAGGTGGTAGACAATAACTAGCTCTACAATCTAAGGGGGGTTAGAGCGGAGGTACAGTGTGGCGGGAGAGGCCGTGGCCACCTCAGACCTCATCAACAGACCCCCACCACCATCTGCAGGGATGGTACCCTCCGCCTCAGAGGACCTGCACGCTTGGTCTATATACAGGTAGGTGGTAGACAATAACTAGCGCTACAATCTAAGAGGGGTTAGAGCGGAGGTACAGTGTGGCAGGGGAGGCTGTAGCCACCTCAGACATCATCAACAGACCCCCACCACCATCTGCAGGGATGGTACCCTCCGCCTCAGAGGACCTACACGCCTGGTCTATATACAGGTAGGTGGTAGACAATAACTAGCTCTACAATCTAAGGGGGGTTAGAGCGGAGGTACAGTGTGGCGGGAGAGGCCGTGGCCACCTCAGACCTCATCAACAGACCACCACCACTATCTGCAGGGATGATACCCTCTGCCTCAGTGGACCTGCACGCCTGGTAAGCCTCTAGTCTATAATTTTGGTAAGGTAGCTGAAATGCACAAAAATCTAGTAGTTAGGTAATTACAGATAATTATATAGATAAAAATCAGTTGTTTTTTTTCAGGCAAAATCTCAACTCGGACTTCACAGATTCGGCTCTGGGGTCGAGTGAGAAGTCACCACTACCTTACGGTAATTTCCAGCTGAGAGAGTCAACCGTCCAGTCTATCCTTAGTCATCCACGCTACGGACCAAAGTGAGTTCACGTGGATTATAAACAAAAGAATCATATTATTACGAGTCGCTGGATACAGAAGCCTTGCTGTCTGGTGATGTCAGCTGCTTATTCTAACTGTATTGACCAACTTTTCTCTTATATTAAAATTAATAAGGTTAAATCAATTCAACTTAAACCATATTGCTCATGGACAAACTCAGTATTATTTGTTTGAGCATTTTTGGATACTGAAGTAAACACCCCACATATGGACTAGCAGTAGGCAATTTTTATTTTAATAGAATACAGTTTAATGGACAACTCACAAGGTGACCTGCTGACAACATTTTATTTTCTCTTTTACTTTTTGAGACTATGTTAATTTAGGCTACGATTATACCAAATTGTTTATAAAAAATAACATCAACAAGAGCAAAGACAAACAACAAACTGTTTTTTACACCAAATATATGTTGTACCGAGATATCTATCCTGACACATGGATAATTTTATTCTGAGTTTGTTTAAATAATACAATAATTTGTTTTACATTTGAGCTTTTTAGGGACGTATGTCCCTTCGAGCCACTGGTATTGATTTAGTCACAGAAGTGCTTGAATATTCCAGGTCACCCCTGGGTTCCAACATGTACACATACCTCAAGTTTGGCCTTCCAAGGGTGTTTCCCCCTAATGGTGGGGGCCCCCGCAACCCCCGGGACGGCTCCAGCGGCTACGACTCTAGTGAAGACGGGGGGACAACGTCCCGAAATGACAAGAGAACAACCAACTACTACCTGCGTACACAGAGCAACCCTGACTTCCGCAACATACCTTACCATCAGGTGAGCAAAACACTTAATAAAAAAACTCGTGTTAAATTTTTTTTTCAATTTATTTTGGGGACTGTGTTGATAAAATATCACAGTCAGCTGTTCTAAAACCAGCAATGTCTGCAATACCAGCCCAAGATTCTACTACTGAGCTGCGATGTTGGCTTTGACATGAATTAGTCTACTAAACCAAAAATAGCTGTTCAGTGACATCTTCACGATTTAATATACTATAAATATTATCGCAAGAGCAGGAGCGGAAGTAGATGAGGCATACAACCAGAAAAGATAGCAAGGCCAAAACCCTTCTATATTATAGATGGTCATAGGAGTAAGTAAACCATAAAAGAATCTGTATCTTCATATACATTTTATCCTTCTTAGCCCACTCTACCAAGAGCGCCAGGCATGGCAGGGGGAAGAGGCAAGAGTATCAGTGAGGCTAACCTACTCTCCGCCGAGGCACTGATGAGGTCCCCTGCTCCGCCAGAGCACCGCCGCAGTATACACGACCTCCGTCACCCCTCCCTCCTCATGCCCCAACAACACCCCTACAACGAGATCGGCTCTCCAGCTCACCTACTGATGCACCATCACAAGTATGTTTGGGATATGTTTTTTTCACATTGTAATTCATTTTTATAGGCTCAGGTTTGCTTTTGTGATATGACAGTTACCTATTTGGACGGTATAAGTTGTTTTTTTTTTGCTTTTAAATGTAACTGAGCCACCTCCTAAACAAGTCTCCTCTTAAACAAGGCCGCTATGTTGGTGTGTGACAACGTCGCAACGTCATGCCTATTGCGATGTTTAACAAAAGTGTAAACATAAACATTACCTATTCTCTCCATTATAATATAGTGCAACAGCTGTTTGGTTTTGACTTGACAGGGGTGTTGCCACGTTTGTCTAGCCTCAGCCTTGTGTTAGAGGAGGCTATGAACTGAGGTGTGATTGTTGCTAAATTGGAAACTTATACTGGGAGATTGACTTAAGTTGAATCTTTATATAAAGGTCAGGATTAAAGGATAGCCTATGGATAAAATTGGATTCGTTGTTGACACAATAGTGTCATAGTGGAGATGAGTGTGGAATGACTTTTTTGATAGCCTTGTTTCAAACTAAAATGACCCAGTTGGCAAAATAATTTTTATCATAGCCTAAAGATTATGTGATAAAATCAAATACAGTATGAGGTACAAACATGAAAATTTCAATATTAAATCTTTGGTCACTTAATACTGTATAATGTTATCTTTTGAACCATTTACTAGTTAATTTTGATACCGGTAGTGTAAACCCATAACATGGACAGTAAAAATGTTAAGGAATTTTTAAAGTATGGTATATATTATTTAAGTATACGGTACTTCAAAATTAGTGAACCGTAAATTATCTTTACAGTTTATATTCCTAGTTTTAACTTTTTAATTACAATCAATTTTCGCTTTGAATTCAAAATAAACTTTATAACGTCCATTGCATAGAATTTTTTAAATCTTATTTAATGGTTTATTTATTGCATCTAATATATTTGAATCTGTGTTTTACCAAATGTTTATATTTTAAGACAAAGTGCTGTAGGCATATTGGTTTTTCTTCAGTTATGGTTAAAATGGTTTAATCTGTAAACTTGTTCTATTGTTTAATACTTCCCATTTAAAGTTGTACTATGTCTAATTCCATTAACACTGCAATGTTCCGGTTGGGTGGTTGTCTTGCCAGGGAAGTAGTTCTCATCGTTAGCGGAGTCAGCCAAGGGCAAATATCTATCAAAGAAGCGTTCATTTCTGCAACAAGTCAAGGAGGTGTACATTTAGATATTCAATCAGCATATTCAACTACATATATTTGATTGGATTCACATACACTAGATAATTGGAAAAAAATATTATTTGTGAAAAATTGTGTTTTTTGATTATAGTATAACTTGCTTTGTTTGATCATCACAGGTGAGGACATAAAAAGGGAATAATCTGTAAATTTACTTTGGAATACACATTAGCTATTCTATGATATTATACATTGCAAAATTATATTCAATGATAGCTATGATAGCTACCATTGATTGTAGAAACAACATTAACTACACCTTGTTGTTTTATAAAATTACGTTGGTTCAATTCAACAAGTTAGCAGGATAAAATAAAATAATATAATCCTATCAACATTTTTGACAAACAAATGACTTACATTAAGTTACCTTTTGTTTTTGTCAGTTGCCTTGTTCTTGATTTGTTCAGTAGTCATTGTATCTAACTAAATGTAACTCAATATTATAAAAAGTCCTAGAATGTTGGTAACAATTACATGTAAATAGTGCAAATGTAAACATTGTGAATTTATTTGTGGCTGTAAAACCAGCTGATTTTAGCCATTAAAAAGCTATTCATCTTCTTCATTTCAACCTCAATTTCCATTTACATTCCGGTTAAAATCTCATTTAAGTGTTACAAAACGGGGTTGGATCTGGTTTAGGAGTAGAGCACTAGTGGGGCTTTGCTCTGTGGGGTCTTGGATTCAAATCTCCTCAATCACCAACAAATTTATCAACAACCCTCTAGTACTAGCCTGAAAAAATGTGCAAATCATTGGCTAGTGTCTAGCGTCGTAGGATATGAAGGTGGAACAAAAAAAACACAAAAACAAGACACAAGAGATGCAACAGTTCATACTCAACTTGTCCACAGAGGGGGTAGACCAGCCTCAGTGGCCGTGGTGGGAAGGCCGTCGTCTGTTCTCAGCATCCCCCTGACTCATCGGGAACCAACCACCCTCTCCTTCCAAGTCAACAGGGGAGAACTGTACAATGGACAGTATCCGCACCTTCAGGTAAGGCTCAATCACTAATATTGCAACTGTTCTATTTAAAATACTAGGCCTATATTGTCAAAACGATAACCAATGATGATCGACCGTGGATGTTACTATATGTATGCACTGTGGATGCGATACTCCGTGGTGTGGATTAACGTCCGCACTAGTGAGGACTAAGACTATCCGCAGTACTATCCTGATAAATAGACCAATTCATTAATACCAAATCAAAAATGTGGTTCGGATTCCACTATAAACTGTAGGTCCCTTAGTTTCCATTAGCTGTATGGGCTATTAATTAACAGTTGTGTCTAAGGAATATGTCGGCCTTAGTCACTAACAAGATTACAATATCGCGCCACTCCTCCTACACTCATCTTCATTCATACTTGGCTTAAAATACCTCCTTTGTATGGTCGCAATTTCAATGAAAAGTATTAAAGTATACACTACAGTACCTATGCCATACAACTAAACTGCAACGTTTATTCTACAATGGCGAATTCCTGACTTAGCGGTATGACATTTTTTTTAACAGTTGCTATTTGCCTTTCCTCTTGTATCATAGTAAATGAGTGTACACTCTTAAATTTACCCTGAATTAAGAGAATAGTGTGTAGTCAACATCAGCATAATCAAAATTTACGTGATAAAGCTCACATCAAAACTGACTCAGATTTTATGATAAGATGTGAAGGCTACTTGCAGTTTCCAAAGACATACAGCTTAAATGTACAGCTCTGGAAGTTCTAACTCATGTTATTTGACCTTAATTCGAACAGTTTGGCCAAAAACATCGAGAAATTCTGTGTGAACAATTTGAGGAAATGTAGCATTAGGTTATTACAAACTGAAACGTTTTCATTTTCAATTCACTAAACTATGTTCTTCTTCTGCAGGTTAGAGGAATGGATGTGGAAGGGCCAAAGAAAGAACCTCTTCTTCAGGGTGTTTCTTTTGAAGTCAGAGGAGGGGAAATTCTAGCAGTTATGGCCACTACAGGTAAGCTGAACGCTCACTGGAAATTTGAAACCTTTGAGATCTTAAGACTGATACATCATATGCAAAACTAGTACAACACAAACTTCCATTTACAGCTATCAATGCAAGTATAGCTCAATAAAAATGAATTAAAGTGATGCCTGACTCGTGCTAAAGAGTCAAGTAGGTCTACCTTTAAAATTACTATACTTCTTTCGTTTGACCAATGTTATTTACTGTGGTGGGCGGTTAGGGCTTAATGGCCAAGCAGTCTAAGACATCATCTCCCAGACCAAACGGCAGTAGGGTAGATTAAGGGAAGAACCCTGACTCAGTTGGGTCTGATGTGAAACTCATGAGTTAATCTTTTTGTTGCAAATTTAGATGGAAGAGGCCCTCCTAAAACTTTGGATGGCTCGGGTTGAAGATAACAGGATGGGTGGATTCTTTGTTTGTTGTCCAAATGAGGCACTTTGCTTCTTTTTACCCATTATTGTGTGATCACCAATGTTTAAAAAAATTTCACATTTGAATTCAAGTCCATAAGATGGTAAAGTAAAATCATAACAAGGCATAATTGAAATCACCGATTAATTCATGTAGTTCAGATGGTTCATGTTTTAAAAATTAATCTACGTATTTACTTACTAATTACGTTAAATTTTAGTTTATAATAAAATAGGACCGGTGTGTAAAAGAAATCCACAAATTCCTTTGGTTTAGTATTAGGCCAGTCAAATAAGAGTTTTTCTAGGAATTAATTCCCAGCAAGCTGGAAATCGTTTTAATACCTTCATTTGGTCCCAAATAAGTGTAATCTGAGTTTGCACCGTTCTATGAGGTGAGCTTTCATTATGGCAGCCTAAAATAAATTAAATTTCAGTACTTTTTTCAGTTGTTTCCGAGTAGCTCAAAAACAGTGTGTCGGACGCAAAAAATGTCCTTTTAATATCAAAGAGGATTAAATTATGCGTAAAATGAGTATATAAATATCCAAATTCGGATAAGTGATAGCCAAAATCTTAAGTTTTAAATATATATTTTATTTCGTGTCATTGCATTTTACATTCTGCGACTTTCCAGAACCCCATACTATCTTTGAATGAGAAACACACCCGTGACTATTTCCTTCTTTACACGAAGTAAGAGTGGGGAAAACAACTGATCAAGTATTCCCAGCTGTTTGCAGTTGTATAGTACAACAGGGCTGTCATCAGTTACTTTGGAAGTGATGTTGTGAATACGACGTTGTTAAAAAATAATTGGGGGCGTTTACCAATATTTGTATTCGTTCAAACAAGTGTTCCAACGAAGTGATCTGTTATCTTTATGATATTAAGATGTGTGTGTGTTAAGATGTGTTTAACATGTTCAGACATGAACGATCCTGAGTATTTAATCTGTGATAGACCGTTACATGTTGAGGCCTCAACTTCTGTGAAACTACAAGGAATAATAATAAGCAAGCAATCCTTGGCAAACGTAATTTTCACTAAAATGATGACTGCAACCATGCTGAAAGAACAATTTCTCTCTAACTACAACAACAAAGGACGGCTTAGCTCAATGCTGAGTGAGAAATTAGTGGACCAGGGGCTTGATGTCAGACAAGCTCTTGAGGATGCTGATATTCTCATAGTCAACACCATAACAAGTGGCCATTCAAGTGGCTTAGAACTTTGCGAAAGCCATAATAATTGGATAGGACAAAGATCTATTGGTCCTATTAACCACCAAAGCACCAAATTCCTCAAACCTTTACCTCAGGAAATCTGGAAAGAGACCTCTTACCATAACCTCTTACCTCTTAAAACATGTTTTGCTCTCCCAGGCATTTCAACTTCTCTTCTCATGTCAAAGAGAACCTTCCGTTCCTATATGCAATCAGTGGGTGAAATACCATCTGCATTCTATCGCCAAGGGAAGGTGAAGATCATAAAACTCCTTGAGAAGAACACGTTGCAGGGGGCTGTTAAGGGTTTCCACCATACAGATGCTCATCCGGAGGGCCTAATTTTAGCAGGTCAACTGTTTGTTTATCTAAAGCCAATAACATCTCACTGGACAATATTCGTTATGATATATTCTCAAAATCTATTTCAAAGTTAACTTTCAATATATAGATTCTCTACCACTAACAAATGCAGCCGCCACCCAACACATTCTACGAGTTTGCCACCAAATACAGAGCTGGTATGATAGACCAGTGGATCTGCTCAACTGGGGTTGGATGATGACGGAACATGGCTTACTCCCAAACATAAACACAAAGAATCCAGCTCAAATTTAAATCCTTAAGTAGTGTCATGCAGATGTACAAAAGGGTGTACAGGAAAGTGCAGCTGCCGTAAAGTAGACATGGAATGCTCAACAATTTGCCTTAGCTGCCATGGTCAGTCATGCTTAAATTCAGCAGTTTCAAGATGAGGGTGTGTCCCACATACCGAACACCGTAGAAGCAGAACCAGGTGAGGACAATCTCTTTGACAATCCACCGCAGCTTGAGATAAATCCTCACATTTTCGGAGGATGTGCAGCCAAGAGAAATTGGGTTTATGCAAAATTAAGTCTTTCATAATTTATTTTTGTAAAAAAATACCAAATAGAAACTCTCCTGGTTATTTTGGTGGTGGAACCACACTGATCGGTAAAAGAATCACAGAGAAATTGGTGAACATACATAGAAAAAAAAACATCGCCACAAACAAATTGAGAACCTCCTCCTTTTGTTGGTAGTGGGGAAGTCGGTTAAAAATACATGAAATTTTCAATTAAAATACCTTTTTAATGTGTTATATTATACTCTACAACCTTCATTATATACATTTTTTCTAATGGAGGTCAGTAATATGATGTCGTTTGCAATAAGATGCGTCGTATACACAACATCACTTCCAAAGTAACTGATGGCAGCCACTTAGCAATGATATTGTTGTACTATACAACTGCAAACAGCTGGGAATACTTGATCAGCTGTTTTCCCCACTCTTACTTCGTATAAAGAAGAAATAGTCACGGGTGTGTTTCTCATTCAAAGATAGTATGGGGTTCTGGAAAGTCGCAGAATGTAAAATGCAATGAAACGAAAAATATATATATATAAAACTTAAGATTTTGGCTATACTACTTAACCGAATTTGGATATGTATATACTCAAATTACGCAGAATTTAATCCTCTTTGATATTAAAAGGACGTTATTTGCGTCCGACACACTGTTTTTGAGCTACTCGGAAAAACTGAAAAAAGTACTGAAATTTAATTTATTTTAGGCTGCCATAATGTAAGCTCACCTCATAGAACGGTGCAAACTTAGATTACACTTATTTAGGACCAAATGAAGGTATTAAAACGATTTCCAGCTTGCTGGGAATTAATTCCTCAAAATGTATTATTTTGATCTAATTTTACTGGCCTATATTCTTTTAGTTAACATGTGATTTTAAAGCACAGTAAGGGATAAAGTTTCTGCTTCATGCTTGCATGTTATGCATGAAATGGTTTTTTTAGGTGGAATAAAAATAATTAGTCTAACTTATTGTCACAAAAGAAATTGTTACATTATACATTATACCAAGTATTCTCGTTTTTGAAAGAAGAAAATCTTTAAAAATAAACTTTATGCTTAGCACCAGAAGGCAAAGCGCTATTGGACGGACTAATGGGACATGCCAACGCCAGGATAGCTCATATAATCCTGAACGGACAAAAGCTTACGCAGAGTTCTCTGCGGCGACGGGCTGCATATGTCCGAGCAGACTTTGTCCTTGCTCCGAACCTGAGTGTCGCGCAGACACTAGCTTTCTACTCCATCCTTCGTCGGCCTCCGTACATAAACGTACAAAAAGTTTCTGTACAAGAACAAGTAAGTATCTGATTTGTGTATTAATGTAATTTTAGAGTGTGTATTTTATTTCATCTTAATAGGAATGATTGATAACATTTATTGACGTTTTAATCATAATTTAGTGCTAGCTAGTTGAGGTAGAGGACGCTAAAATAAGCACATTTAATCTTCAGATTTAATCTTTATTTTGTCTTTATTAAGTCAAGCTCTTGGCTTCATTCCTACCGTCTTTTAGCTGAGGTTTGAATTAGATTGTAAAACTTGATCTCATCAGCTGTTTTTAGAGTAAGTTAAATCATAAGAACATTTTTAACCTTAAAAGTTTAGTCCATACCAGTTGTTTTCAACTGTCCCGTAATTTATTAGATTTCTTATGGAAAAGTTAGATTTTCAGCTTTACCATCGAAGTGAGGTTTGAGCTTACAGAAGTTAATTTTTCAATTTTTACAATTCCTGTGTAGTCTTTCAAAATCTTAAAATGTTGAGGTACTTGGGTCTGCACCATTATTCTGAGATTTGCTTCAAATTTTGTAGGAAACTTCAAGGTAACTCGGAGCACCGAGAAAGTAGAAAACTCTAACCCTATTCGTAGAGACAATTAATAAAATATTTTTTCATTATGGAATAACTCTAATTATGGTAAACAAACTGGTAAATTTTGACTCAAAAGAGTTAACCAAACTAAATTATCTACCGTACTTATAACAAAATTAGCATTACTTTATTAGCTATTGAAGTTAATAGATAAAACAAGGTTTCTTTGTTAGAACTTATTCCGCTTCTCAGACTTTGTCTTACGCCCTTGTCTTCTCTCCATAGATGGGTCTGCTGATAGAGGAGCTAGGCCTCGCCCAGGTGTTGGACACTAAGGTATCTTCTCTCACAGCCTCCGAGCTGCAAAGACTCAACTTGGCGTGTCATCTCATCGCCAACACGGAGATTCTTCTGCTGGACCGACCGACCGCTCATATGGACATCTTCGACACATTCTTCCTGGTCGAGTTTCTACGACAGTGGGCAGGTGGAGGCACTGGTGAGTTGTAGTGTACGTCTGGGTAGCCGAGTCGATGTAGTGCTCGCCTTCTAGCCTGAGGGTTGCTGGTTCGATCCCAGCCTTGGTCGATTGTGTACCCTGATGTTATTCGTCACTGGGCAATTATAATGATATCTAACAAAAAGACAGTTTTGGATGGTACAACAACCATGGTTTGGACTGTTTTTAACAAAAGACTTAAAAAAATACGTCCTAATGGTGTTAGTATGCACAATAAGTAAAAGTTTAGGTTGAAAACTTCACCAAACTTTAGTATCTAAATTTTATTATTTATCTTTTTGTCTCAGTTTTAGTATAGAGAAACGAGTTTACAACCTTCGCTTTGTCACCTTACCAGAATGATTGCTAAATTTCATATTTGTATCTGATGACTGATCAATGCTTGGTGGTATTTTAATCTTTTTAACAATGTTGTTTGATCAGAAATAAATTATTCCTTGTCTTATGCAGTATTTCTTTTTGTTCAGAGACCACCACTTGGTTATAAACTGAAACTACTGAAACTAGTATTGTTTGACACAGTGTTGAACAACTACAAGCGACATGTGATTCATTCCAGCTTCTTTAATTTAAGAACTTTATTTTAAACCTTTTTCATGCTCCTTAAAACTATGTATAATAAGTGTCCAAATATTGTTGGCAATTTAAATACAATTTCGCATCATACAATTTTTTTAACCTAAAGTCTGATAACTTACATTTAAGAAGATTAATACGCCAACTACAAGTAAGTGTAGACAATGAAATGTTATGTCAGTTTTAACAATTGATTGTAAACACCACAGGTGGGTTGTCCGGCCGCATCGTTATTCTGACGCTACAGCCGCCCACCTACGAGATATTTACGATGGTCTCCCGCGTAGTGCTGCTGTCTAGTGGTAGACTCATGTACTCAGGTCGTCGTAGAGACATGCTTCCCTACTTCTCCACAGCGGACTACCCTTGCCCTGCATACAAGAACCCTTCAGACTACTACCGTGAGTTTCAGTGATTTTGGGTGAAATCGTTAAATATGAAGAAGATTTTTTCAGTTATTTGGCTCATCTTTTTTCTAGAACTACTCTGACCGTACCAGAATTATTCTGACTATTACTGTGAGTTTAATTTGTTTTAGGGTGAAATCATAAAGTATATTAATAACAATAAGATTTGTCAACTACTTTTGGCTTACTACTCAGAGAAGAAATTATAAATAAATGTTATCTATTTATTTCATACAATCATTAAGTTTTGGATACTGCATGTAGTAGACATCCCATCTATAGAACCAACTGATGTTTTCCAAATAAATAACATAGAACATTGGAAATTATTTTTGTAGTAAACATTATTGGATGGATTGATAGAGCTAGAAAAAGGAATCTTCTATCGAATAACAAAATTTATCTTGGAGATATTTTCTTACTAAATTTCTAAATACCTTTGTATGTATATTCGTTTGATTTGTTGGTAATTTATTAAGAAATTGCGAACCAATTTGTGTTGCTTTCTTTAAGAAAAAGCGAGGTTATGCCGGATTATATCTATTTGTTGTATTATAGTCTATGTGTTTTGGCGGAAATAATGCATTCTAAAGTATACTGGTCAGTGGTCATAGACAGTTATTATATATAATTGTGACAATTAGTTTCTTACACATGCTTTACTTACAGATATGCTAAACTTCACAAAACTCCGATTAAAAATAAATTTTTCTATGTTTCAGTGGACTTGGTGACCTTGGATGACCTGTCGGCAGAAGCAATGCTAGAATCTAGTCAGCGCATCGAGCAGTTAGCGGAGTTGTTCAGACGCAGACAGGAGCCTCTGTCTGACCCAGGTCCGCCGCAGGCACTCCCAGGGAAAACCAGGCCTGCCAACATCTTCAAACAATTCATTGCCATACTCTTGTAAGTCTAATAATGAGATTAAGGCTGTAACATAGAATACGACAGAAAACTATATATTTTGCTGGGGTAGCACAGTAAATTGCTATATTTGAATTCATGCTGTAGCGTTGGTTGCTGTTGGTTGAGGAGAAGGAAGTAACTGTGGTTTACATGAAAATAAGGGAGATTTGTATTTTTCACATTGCTATGTTTGAACATTTGAACAGACAGTTTTGAACCATTAAAAACTGACTTCTCTCTCAGGATGAACCAACCCTCTGATTTTTAGAGAAGCATTATAACCTCTCGTGTAGCTAGTTAATTGAGTCGTCTTCTACATACATTAACGAGGTTCTTTGTCACAGACGCCAGACAGTCTACTGCCAGCCGAGCAGTCTGTGCCGTTGGATCTCACACCTACTGCTGGCTTGCACGTTGTCTCTTATCGTCGGTGCTGTGTTCTGGGATTTGCCCAGTTCTGACCCCTTACTTCTACAGGCTGACAGGTTCGTTATGTCTCAAAGGAAAAAGAAAGATTCAACTTTTTAATCTTATTCAATTGTTGGTTACGTTGCGTACCAGCCGTCACACCTTTGTATGAGGGGCTTTGTGAGACCTCTGGTAGTGAACTAATCATTTTGGGCATAAAGGTGCTGCGGTTCACTTGAATAAAGTGCATTCTGGAAGTCCGGTTTTCGATCACGTTAGCCAGTAGTTGGGCGGTATACTGGCAATCACATTACGGATATATGTTCCCAAATCTTCCAGCGTTTGTGGTTTATTGGCATAGTCGTGTTGTGTTACTGAACTATCCTCACTAAAAATAGTCCATTGGTGGATTTGGGAGCAAACATCCGTTGTGTTATTGCCAGTATACGGCCCCAGTAACTAGGTAAAACTATCAAAAAACTGGACTTCCACATTGCACTTCATTTGAGCCAGCTGCGGCATCCATATGACCAAAATTATTTTTGAATACTGGCATAAAATTACCAAGGAAAATCCTTACCATGGTAATTAACATAATTGTCTTTGTGTGATATAAAAGTCGTAAATTCCTAAAAAAACCTTTTCTTAACTTAATGTGTGCTTGCAGGCTTGGCTACCACTACACGATGCTGTGTGTTGTTGGAGCTGCTCTACTTCCTGTGGTGGCGATTGCTAGGACTCACGACATGGACCGGCTGGCAGCCGAGAGCGATGTCAAAGATAACCTCTACTCTAGAACTCTCTATATTATAGTTGCAGTGAGTATTGTTTTAACTTAAACCTAGTGTTAGTGGGCATCCGCAGAAGGTAAAGGAGGAGGTTAGAAGTTATGGAAAATGGTGTAACTTGAATGCCTGCTTATGGCAATCTCCTGAATTGCGACCAGCGACCAGTTTAGTCTTTGAATTGAAGTCATTCAAGCTGTAAATGGAGTCCTATTTTAGTCATCTTGCTATGCTGGGTACGTTCCTTGCACAGGCCTCAGTGGCCCATGTAGACAGGCAAATGCAAGGTAGAAGAGGCCGCCAACCGCTGAAAAAAATCTTTCTGCAGGCGCCCCTGGTTGGTATAGTTGAGTATATAAAAAAAACCATTCCAGCATAGTTTTACTCATTAGATACTGTTATGATTTTAATATAACATTTGTTGAAAGATTATAAGAACATTTGTACAAATGTCCACAGACTCTAGTCAGTGTGCCTCCATCTCTACTGCTGTGGCTTGGGTTTATTATTCCAGCCTACGCCATGACAGGACTGTACAACCAAGGACCTGCACCTGACGGCTTCTATGTTTATATTGGTCAGTACATTACGACAAGAATTACTTTATGGAGAATGGTAATCAGTAGAATTATGTGTAAATCTCTGGTAGTACTTTGTCTGAAAGTAATCAATGGGTTATGAGTATACAAGTATAGTGTTCCCAAATAATCAGATGGTTGCCGATTTGATTCTGAGATAAGTTTGAAAGCCTAGCTGTTCTTAATTGTTTGGCTTTCTGGTTTTGGATAAGGAACCAGCTGATTTTTGTCAGTAACAAATTTGTCATCACAGTCATTCGACACTCATTCTTCAATCAGATTCGCCTTATATTATGTACCTTTGGGTGTTGTTGTATAGATCTTTGATGAAGTCATACTCTTAGTATTTCATTTGAACTTTTTCTGAGAATAAAAGTGACACAAAAAGTTAATGAGCTCGACCACATTCCTTTAATAGCGTTTGAGATTCCTACATTGTAAATTCCACTGGTCTAGACACTATACAAAAACTGTAGTTTCACCAATTTTTAGGTTACATGTTTGTGGCCTTGTTGTTAAAACTGTTGACTGTTTTCCAAGATATATGTTGGTAGCTCTGTGTTAGTTTGACTTTTTTATTTTATTTCTAGGATACATGTTGGTAGCCCTGTGCACACTACAGAGTCTCACCACACTGCTAGGTTATCTCTGTCCGGGCCGTCTCAGTGCTTCCCTTCTCTCTTGTCTACTTATTCTTTGTCTCTCGCTTGTCTCCGGATTCCCGGTGCTCCGGTGGGATCTTCCTCCCCTCTCCCCCCACCTGGCTGTCCTCAGCCCGGCCCGCTGGATCTTAGCGCCACTCGCTGGTCGAGAGTATGCTCAGGAAGCAGTGATTGCCAGCTCCGCTCAGCACATTTGTAAAAAGAACCAGGTGTGTAATCCCTGTACTTGTTAGGTACTTTAATTCTGCAATATAAGGTTTATGTCTTTGTGCAGTAAAAACAACTGATTCTAGATTAGATAAGTAGAACTTTTATAATAGTTTGTTGCTCACTAGTTTTAGTGAAACTGTGTACATTTAGGGACAAATTTTAACCTAACCTTAATGTGTGTGGAAATAAAAAAAAAATCAAATTATAGATGTTTTGTTATTATAAGAGAAAAGGGGAAAACTGTTTAAAATAGATGTAAATAAATAATATTACAATTCATGGAGTTCAAAAGTTTACTCAGGTTTTCGTCAAGGGAGGTTTTTTGATCTAGCAGCGTTCAACTTTAGTTAGCTATTCCTTGCAATACACTTATTCAGTTCACTGTTCATTTGGTGTTATGCATGTAGTAGTAACTTTTAACACAGACAATATTGTAGAAGCTACTATGATCATCCTAAACAATTTAGGATAATCATATTTCAATGAAACTGTAATTTTTTTAGAAGAATTGCAATCCGGTATTTAATATTTGTAGTTGCTACAAGGAAATGAAATAAATAAATTATAAAAGCCATTGGACCTAAAGGATTTACAGCTACTTCTAGCATTAACATTATTGATTATAATTGCTATAATGCAGTTAATGCATATTTTCATTGCAGGTTCAGAGACAAGATATTATCGTACAGCTTCCATGTCCGTCTCCAAATGGCTCAGCGGCGCTGGCGTATCACGGGCTGCAACTGCCTGACTCACTTCCCCTTCCCCTAGCCTACCCCCCGTACTTTCCCCCTCTCATGCTGGCTGTCGTCTGCCTTCTGCTCATCCCCGTGGCCTACGTCTGCTCCGGCCGCTGCTACACCCTCCGCAGGCGACAGAGAAGCAAATATTAGTTACGTTAATTTGTTACGGAGGTGCTTTTGTCAATATTGGTAGTTTTTTTAGTAATTTTGATGCTCAAAGTTATATTTTAGCAGTTTTATAGGTTAACTGAGGCTAAGTCAAGGTTTAAAGTTGATTTTGCAATTTATTATGATTTATAACTGATTTGTTCAAATTCAACTTCTTATCACAATCACTGAACTGTGCAGTTATAAAGACAGTGATAGTTGCTATAGTAAAAGTCCCATATAGACAGAGTAACAAGCGAAAGGGTGGTTGCAGTGATAAGACATTAATGCCAGAGGTTTATCATGTGTAGGACTACATTATTTAAATGTTTACACATACATTTTTAAAAATCAAAACTCTATCCTTTTTCCAATTAAAACTCTATAGAATTTTTTTAAAGTTACAAATTAAATCCTCAATAATTTTATTTCACTGGTATAGTTAAGTATTTTAGTGGTTTCCAAATGTTGGTAAACTATAGATTGCAAAGTGTAAATATATTTGAAATACCAAATATTTTTAGTTTATTCAGATATTATGTATATTTTTTACAACAAACAATTGACCATTGAAAAATTATGCTTGTTAAATTTGTAATGGTGCTAACAATGCTGCTAAAGCGATAATTTTCTAACTGACTGACAATAATGATGACTTTTGTTGATGTCCTGAATACAATACTTGAAAGCTTTTGAAAATTATATTGTAAAATTAGTAGGCCCTTTCTATGAATATGATAATAATACCATAGATAAAACATACTCCCTTAGTAGATTTCTCATCCTAATGGAACAGCTGAAGACAATTTTATTGTTAGTTCTGTATACGGTTTATGTAGAGGTTGTGTTTTGTTTACAATTTGTTTCCCGTTAATACAGACATTTAAAACCTCGTTTAGCCAAATAATACGATCTAATCATAAACAATAAATTGTCCCCTAGTTATTTAACCAAACAGTAAAGCACAAATCAAGAAATTAACCCTAAAATAATAGAAACAAAATTTCGTCGACACTGGCGCCTAGTGTGGCGTATATGAACTAGTCATGAAAAACGAGCTTCAAAATTTACAATGGGATGAGAAGTCTACTTGTGTTGGTTAGTCTATGATAATACAAATCCAGCAAACCAGCATAAATATTGCTTTGTAAATTTTGAGTTTATGTATATCTAAATACTTAATACATTTTTTTTATTTATGATATGCTAGTGTTTTGTATGAAGGATAATTAATACTTTATCATAAAATATTTCAGTTTATGCAACAAATGGGATTTTCTTTAAATTTGTTCAAATATTGGAAATGCTGTAAAATAATTTTACCTACGACCGTTTTTTAAAGTAGCCGTTTCAGTATAGTTCTTAGAATTGATAAGTATCTCATAACAGCATTGTTTACTTTCATAACAGCGTAGTTTTAATCATAACAACACGGGTAACGGACCAATGAGAGAAGATGTAAAATTGTAATGATTCAAACTACAACTAATCAGCTGTTCAAGCCAATTAAATTGCTGAGTGGTGCAATTAGTGTACAATGTTTCGTTGCATCACTGTCAGTGGCAATGCTAGGTTAAAACCGAAAACATAACCTCTCTTAGAAGTTATGAGTAGTGATTTTTAGTAATTTAAACACTGTCGTAGGTAAAATAGTGTACGCAACTCGCGTAAATAGTGTTAACGGCAATCGTAGAATTTTTGGCCCTTCTACGAGCCTTGGCCTTAAATTTACTTTTGTCCTTAACACTTTTTCACTCCTTACATCTTTATGCAGTAAACTACTATTATAAGTGTCCTTTAAAATCCAGTTTTGCTCTAATTAATTACTTTTTTACTACTTAATGTAACATCCCTAAGAGTAATCTTAATCGTAAATTATAGTATTATTTATGTAATTTAGGAATAATTTAGGAATCAAGATATTATAATATTTATAAATAATTTAATAAAAATTATTTTAATTTATATGTACATAAAAATTTGTGCCAAGATGTGTTTATGATAAGTAGTTATATCAGCAAATGATTGAATAATTTAAGTGCAATTATGTTTGTAAATTTTAAATTTTACGTTCTGTTTTACAAAATCACTTAAAGATTTTTTACTATGTGCCTTGTATATAGATTGAATGTACAACCTGCCGAATTCATACAAACAAATCCTTAATGTTTGCACATTATGTGGATTAAATTCTGTATAAAACAGATTAAAATGTTATGCACTTTAAAGTGTTATTCATAGTAAGAAGAATAAAATAAATTGGCTACTTTATTAAGAGTTATTGAAATGATTCATCCTTGTTACTATGTTGATTCTTGTTAAAATATTTAAATAATTTTAGATTTAGCTATGAGTGTTTATTTATGTAAATAATACATTTTTATAAGATTCACATTGTGAGCCTACTTTGTATGTGTACTTTGCACAACGATTCCGTCCATAAAATTTGTAAGATTTGTAAATAACTTTATTTAGTAAACTAATTTTTAAAATACAACTGAGTTTTATTCAACACATGTTATTCCTGTTAAATTTTACTTAGCTCTGCCTTAAGAATTTGAACTATTTTGATTGTGTTGTTCAATGTTTGTGAAATGTTATGCAGTATTACAGAAGGCCCCCTGTTAACCGAACTTGCATTCATCGATAATCAGATTATCCGCCCTTGCTCGTAAAATATTATAGTTTTTTTTAACCTAGCTTGTTTTGGGAGCAGTTCTGTTTAACCGCCGTTTTCTAAGAATCTCAGCATTTCCGGGAACAATACGCTGAAATCTACCTACAGAATGTTATAGAAGGGGAAGCTCCAGAGGGCGGGCCAGGTAGGCCCGGGCCTACGCAACGTTTTGGAAGATATATCAACATTAAAAATAAATAAAGGAATTGAATTATCTGTAATAAATGGAAAGCATGCAAACTAATTATTTTGCATTTAAATTTTAAAATTCTCCCCTTTTTGTGGGGAAGCCCTTCAAACCTCTTGACCCCACCCGCCGCGCCCCTCATTTTTGACCCTCAAAACAAAAAATTTCCCAATTTCTCTCTAAATCTTTTTAAAGAGCTCAAAAAACAAATAATTTAGTCTATCAAAGTGTTTTTGTACGGTAATTGGTAACGGAGAAAATTCAACAAATTTTAAATTAAAAATTCCCATGTTATTCTTATGAAGAATATTGAAATGTAGTTTGCTTGTTTATGGATAATTTTTATCAAACTTGGCAAATTTATTTATTTTATACTAAGCTATTAATATTTTACTAAAACACACCTTATTAGTTTCAGTTTCCTAGTGTCAGCAAACCTAGGTACTCGTTAAACGTAAATTTATTTAAATAGATTTAATTGAAAATCATTCAGAGAAATGGAAATTCGCTTAGTCGGCAGGTTTGCTGTGGCGGGGGTATTGGGTTTATTTGTGACAGTTCTATCGTTAATATTAAGACAAATTTAAGGAGATAAGTGTAGTTTATAAAATAAATCAGAATAATGATAATATAATTCCAAATGAATATAGGACTTCATTTCTTAAAGTTTTTAGGGATTGCCCGTCTTAACTGACCTTTTGAGTTATCTGACCTACCTGTCCGGTTAAGAGAGGGTCTACTGTACATAGCCCCTAAAACCATTACTTGTACTTGGTGGTAGATGTACTGATGTACGTACAACCATAGACTAACCAACACAAGTAGACTTGTCATCCCATTGTAAATTTTGAAGCACGTTTTTCGTGTCTAGTTCATGTACGGTGACACTGGGCGCTAGTGTCGACAAAATTTTGTTTCTGTTATTTTAGGGTTAGTTTCTTGATTTGTGCTTTACTGTTTGGTTATATAACTAGGAGACAAGTTACCGGTATTGTTTATGATTAAATAGTATTATTTGGTTAAACGAGGTTTTAAATGACTGTAATAACTGGAAACAAATTGTAAACAAAACACGACCTCTACATAAACCGTACAGAACTAACAATAAAATTGTCTTCAGCTGTTGCATAAGGATGAGAAATCTACTTGGGGGAGTATGTTTTATCTATGGTACAACCCCCTCTCAGAATTTATGAAGTGAAATAAAGTTAATTTAAACTTATTAACTTGTTAACCCTTAAATATCTGTATATTGGATATCATTGTTTAATTTGTCTACCAACACTAGCAACATTTATTGTTTTTGTCTGATTACCATTTTGAAGGAAACGATCCAAACCCTACCATCTAACATTAACGTTTTGTTTGCATCATGAATTGATAGCCCATCACAAATAGATAGCCCATCACAAATAACATCTCCGTCCAGAAGTAATCTCCCTTGGAATGGAAAGAGTAACATAAAATAATTTATACCTACAACTTTTATGCAAACAAAACTGTATGTAAAAATACAATTGAGGCGTTGAGAGGCCAAGGGAGATATGTGACTTTTAAAAAAATGTTGTCATGGTAACGGGTTTTGTTAAAAAAGGGTGGAATTTCAACAAATAATTCACTTATATCCCCTGGCCTCCAAACTAAACACCTAAGAGTTGGAAGCCAAGGGGTATAAGTGAATTTATTTTTATTTTTATTTTATTTTTTATGACTATGAAAAAAATACAATGACATTTTTAAAAAGTCACATATCTCCCTTGGCCTCTCGACGCCTCAATTATGAAATCTGAGCTGTTAAACAAAAGATGAATGTCAGCTGCTCACTTAAGCAGATAAGACAAGGTACTACAACATGTTTTCACTGAAGATGTCACTGTACACCAAAGTTAGCATGATAATAAAGTGATGTATCTTGAATCAAAAAGGAAATGACGCAACAATAAAAAGTCTTAAGCATTTTTCACTGTCTGGGGAAGGTTCAGAAAATTTTGTCTAGTGACAAAAAGCCATTTGATAAAGGAAAAACTCTCTTTGCTAAGTTTGCTTATATCAGAGACAAGGGAATAAGTATTAAAAATAAATACTCGTTCCCAGACCGCTTTAATAATTGGTCCCAGGGGAGTAAGAGGTTTTGTTTTAGATTTGTTGGGGGTGCAAGGAAGAGAAAAATTAACCTTTAGGAGAGGGGCACAACTCTCTCAGGGCCCCTAGCACATCACATGCAAACCGCTAGCCTGCTTGTTCCCTTGTCTGTGTATTTGGCTGCTCCTAGTTAATCTTTAATTTACTCTGTTGCAAAATCTGAAAATAAGAAGAAATGCTCTTTCAGAAGGCTTTTACATCTACTGACATGTAGTGTAATGTACCCGTCCCTCAATTCATTCTTCTGGAAAATTAAATAAAGTGTTCTTTTACGTGGCTTGAAATCCAGATCCAGCATTGCGTTTTTCCAGCTTTAATTATGGAAAAAGATTGAAGTTTTTTACAATTTACACAAACTGTTTTTACAATTAAATCTGAGGGAGGGTTTATACTGTGTACTGTGTACTGTGTACTGTGTACTGTGTACTGTGTACTGTGTACATTTTCAAGTTCTAGTGATGTTCAAAACCATAAATCTCGAATCTTAAACTATTTTTTTACCAGCCTGGTTAATCAAGAATATTAAACAAATACAGGTACAGTAGGTAATGATAATAAAATGTTTATTATGCAATAAAACCCTAATAAATACTTTAATGCTAGAAAAATATGCTTGTTTTATAATTAATTTAATGAGAGTAACCTGTGAAATTCCTCAAATATTATATTAGGGGATGGTCACAGTTACTGATTACTAAATTGAAGGGTTTACTAAAATAATAATTAATTCTAGCAGTTTATTTATGATATGTTTCGCTGTATGACTAAATTACCAACCCATGTAATGTTGAATAATTGACTCAACAATTCAACAATTGGTGGAACAATTCAAATTAGAGTTAGTTAAAATAAACCAACCAAAATGACTGGTAATGCATACAGTTTAATTATGCATATTTAGGAGTGTAGGTGTTAAAGAAATTTTGCTTTAAGGTTTTCTGAATGAAGTGACGGCCTTGAACCCCATTGGACAATATTGTACCACGTGACATGCGCATTGTTTGATATCTGCAGGATGAATGTACGAACGGGGGAGGGTCGAGGCGGCAGTGGTGGGGGAAGCGACAGCAACAGCTCCGTTCGGATTTAGAGGGCCGTGGTTGTTTGTGTCAAACGAAGCCGGGCAGCGCCCTATCCTCAGCGTTTAGATTATTTTGTTAGTTTTGAGTGACTTTGAGGCGCTTTCCGTGTATTTTACGAGTTTTCCAGTGTCCTAGGAATGAACTGTGCACGTGATATCGTGGTAAATCTAATATAGAAGAGTTATCTCCGAGTTTTTGTGTTCTTTGACGTCTTACATCAGTAGTAAACAATGCCATCAGACGAAGATGAATCTCCCGACCGTGCTATTATGATGGACATTTGCATAGGAAAGGATTGGCTTCTGCAGGAACTAAGGTCAAATCCGACTCGTCTTATAATTCTAGATTGTCGCAGCTCGAACGAATTCGGAGAATCCCATATTAGGCATGCTGTAAATTTTAGCATTCCGAGTATTATGTTGCGTAGGTTGGCAGCGGGAAAAATTGATCTTGTGTCGACTGTTAAATGCAGGGAATTAAAATCTAAAATCGCGAATGCTTACAAGGAGAGCTTGTTCGTCATTTACAGTGATATTTGTTTGACTGATCAAAAAAGTCAGGGCAGTTCTCCCAGTGAAACAACAATGCAAGTCCTAACGAAAAGGCTACAACAAGATGGCTGCCAGGTCATGTGTTTGGAAGGTAAGTTTACAAATTTATGTAGCTAAAAATTTTCAAAACGTTCACTGGATGGTTAAATTTTGTTGTGATATTATAATATGCATTTTTTCAGTTAGGGTTTTTACGAGATGAAAAAAGCTAACCTAACACACAACGCAAAGTTTCATTTTAGCTATTCTTAGGCTTAACTTATAATTTATCACAATGTCTGTGCTATTCAAACAAATTTTAAATTTTTACCTATGAGGGCTTAGGCCTATTTGGTAAAACTTTGAAATTGGGCTTGTGTACAGCTCTGCAGCGAACCTGCGATCAAATGAAATCTTAGTTGGATTTAAGGTAGGCCTAACTTACCACACCAAGTTACATTGTATCGGAAGTGTTTTCCCACAGTACTTATAAGTTTATTAGGCCTATCAAGTAAACTTATAACTTACTAAGGCCTATGTCAAATTGTAGTACGGTAAGTTAAAGTAAGGTATAAGTAAGTTATATTACAATAACTTACCTAAGCCTAAGTAACTTATGTGTCCGTATTGAATGAACGTTTTGAGCCATGCTATTTTCAAGAGGACTTTTTCACAAACTGTCAAATTCAATACCTTACCTAGATCAACAGTCCAATCGCACAAACTTAAGTTAACCAAACTTACCCACTGCATGGGGTTGTAGCCCATGCATTTTGAAAATCAATTAGCCTAAGTTAGTAATACCCTTTTGATATTCTCTCGATATTTGTTCCATTACATTAAGAGTCCAAGAAACGAATAACCTTGACACCATTGTTTTCTACACGGACATTTTAAGTTACCGTATGTCAATTTGCTCACCAAGGATAGGGTAAGTTAACTCACAAAATTCCTCTTAAATCGAGCTCTAAGTTATGTTCTGCTAATATACTTCAAGGCTAGCCTTTAGAAATTAGCCATTTACTAATAATGTGGTGTAGTGCCAGTGAGGATGGGTTAGTAATCTAATGGTGATTTTCCTGTAATCCCATTAACATTTAACGGAAAAATCTTATTTTCACAAAAAGCTGAACGGTTTTGGTTAAGTTTGGTATGGTCCTTTTAACAGAAATATCTATAACCCTCAATGCTGTAAAAATTATGGTTCAAAAGTTATTAAGTTTTAGAACTTTTGTGATCTCCTATTTAAAATGTCCCTATTTACCGAATTTCCATTTACCTGGCTGGGTTTCTACTAAAATATTCCCTTAAAATTGTCAGATATATTTTCTATTTTAATAACATTAATTTTAATGAGTACTTAGGTTTTCTGCTACAGGGCATGTATTGAGGTGTGTTTTTTATTGAAATATTGATAGTCTAATATAAAATAGTAAATAAAATGGCAAAATTTGATTAAAATGTATATGGTAGGGTACCAACGTACAATATACTTACTTAAACCCTATACCTAATAGAAGAATCTTAAAAAATAAAAAAAAATAGGCACGGTTACACACAAGAATTACAAGGCTTAAGTTAAGTTACAGCAAAATTAATTTGCAGGGAGTGGAATACAAAGAACACTTTTAGGCCTAAGGGCCGGACTACACGAGCGTATATGAAACGCCACCGATAGTACGAGCACAAATTTCTAGGACTACACGAAGCCGACAATCAGCAGCGTATTGAACGCGAGACCATTGACTACACGAGCGTATAGAACGCCGCCGACTGTGCTCGCCCAATGTGACTGACATTTGGACCGTTCCAATGGAAACGATACTGTACAGGTCGGATGTGTAGCTGGTATGCTGTTGTTGAAGGCTGAAGAAACGTCGTGCAAAGAGGCGTTGGTAGTCAAACCCAACATTATCAAGTTGTTTAGTAACAGAATGTACGCAGACAATTTTTTCAGCAAAACAAATACAAATATTGAGGCACAAAAAACAATCAGACGACTCCAATTACAACAAGTAGTCCAGAATTGGACTTGCCAAAGTGATGGGAGGGATGTATCAACGCGCAGGAGAAATGCTAGTTGCCGCTACGTGTAGTCCGGTGCGCCGACGATCTGCCCGCGTATTTTACGCATCCAGAGGCGTTAGATCTGCCGAACGCCTGAATTACGCGTCCTCACCAGGCAGACAAAACGCCCGTGTAGTCCACATCATATAAAGCTATTGGCTCTGCAAAAAAAGCAGACGGTCGGCGGCGTTTCATACGCTCGTGTAGTCCGGCCCTAAGTTTACTTAGTTTAGAATGGGTTTATACAACGCTGGCACATTAACTTAAGGTGTATTTATATTTAAAAGTGAAGTGAGTAGCCTATACATGATAAATGCTGAATGGATGAGATCAGAGCTTCGTTATCGTTATTAACAAAATAATTATGAGATGGGGACGAGACCTGTTAAACCTATTGAGTACTGAATGAGATCAGCTGAGCCAGGATCATTCATTAAGCTTAATGATTAAGGACTAGCGGGTGTGTTTCAATAAAAAAAAAATACCTACATGGAATTTTCTAAGTAGGTACTGTATTGAACCTTAGTCGTAGTTTGTAAACTTACAAACGTCACACAAACACACGGACCTTGCTTCCAAAACCATTTTTTTTTTTTTGTTTCAGGGGGGCTCAAATTATATATTTCCACCCAAAACTCAAACATTTTGACGAAAACAATAGTCTACTTTCTCCATATACTTACGGGAGGAAGTAAAAAAAAACATTAGGCCCAGACTAGTGAAAAACTATTTGAATTGTCCAACAAAACTGTGTTGTGTAGTTTACAGTATCACATTCCTAAAGCTGTATGACATGGCTGATTATTGAGAGTTCATTCTAATCCCATTTTTTATATCGTTTATACATTGCAACATTTGTCAATGTAAAAAAACGACCAAATTGGTTTTAAATCTGAAGACTTATTATTTGATTAAAAAACCAGCACTTGACATCAGGCTATGCTAACTTCTGGTCTCCATTGTTGAAACAAATACACGCTCAAGTTGCGAAAGTGTGTGGCAATAAAGTGGCTCACTTCGCGGTTGGTGTGTGTGACAATTAGTTAGTTTTCTCACAATTGCCGCATGGGAGCCCAGCACAATGAGCTCTAGGTCTCACATGTTTTATTCATCAGAGGCTCGGCTGTTCTGTTAATATCCTGTGTGGTGTGAGGCGCAGTTGTGTCAGAGAAGGGAAATAACCTAAATAAGCCTGACTAAAAATCATTTCTATTTGTTGAGGTAACACCCCATCTGTATGAAAATGTAGGTAGGGCGAGGAATTATTAATTTAAAATGTTTTGTATTCACAGATAGGGTATTTTTTACTTACACTGAATGTTTGTTGCTCAAAATACCTTGTATAGGCCTAATGACTCTACTTTTTTGGCTGTCAATCTTAACTGGGCTTAGATGTGGTAAAACATTTCTCATGTGTATAACACTTGCGTTTAGGCATAGGCCTAAACTAAAAATATGTTTTGTATCAGTAAACTATTTTTAGTGAAGTTTCCCTAAAGGGTCAGCTATTGCCATAGGTGACATGGTAAGACCTAGACATGGGACTGATTTTATTGTTTTGATGTCCCTAGTGGCCAAAAACATTAGCTACCTCCGTTTAAATTTGCATAGCCTACATAGGTGTCCCTTGTTTAGCATTGATTAGCACAATAACTCACATAACAAATCATCCTATTTCCATGAAATATTGTATCAATGTTTAAATCCATGTTTTATTTCAACGCTTTTTGTGATAGGACCCTGAAAATGGGGTGCCATGGCAGGTTTTAAGCAGTAAAATTTGGGTTTTCCCATTATTGACAACAGCCAAATATGTTTAAATGATTTCTTTCTAAGCTATTTTGTAGGGATTAAAAACAAATTAATTTAGTAACCTATTAGGTCTGTTGAAGCATTTTTGCACCGTACGCTTAATGGTTATGGCAAACATTACAAAAAATTTAATAGAAATTTAATATGAACAAAATTTCCATGTTATATTTAGGAGAACAAGGAAACTGTAGTTGACTTGTATAATGGTTATATTTTTATTAAACCTCCCCTTTTTAGCTTCCCTGTAGCGACAAACCTAAGTAGGTACTTTACTCATGTAAACGGGGATTTAATCTGATAATTAAATATTATTGGTAGCAGGGTTCTGGGTTTTAAACTAAAAGATTTTTATACTTCCACAAGTATTGTAAAACACAGCCAAAACGTAATATCCGAAAACGATCAACAAATTAACCAATAACTTTTTATTGCACTGCAGTACACCTTTCTATGTTGACTCACAGTATTTTTAGTTCCGTTAAAATTATCACACAAGCAAACAATAGGAACTAATTATAATGCAATACGTGATCGCCATTGAGTTGGTTGTATCATGTACAGTAATGGAAGCATTATAATAGACTACAATCAGATAATTATAGACTGGACGTCATAGTCATAGACTATTGTGATTGTGACAACACCAGGTATCCACATCAATAGAGTGCATTTTGGTCAAGTTTCATTCAATTTTGTTCCAGAAGAATGTATGCTGTATAAATTGTTTAACAAGAGTGAATTTTGATTAGTAGTAGAAAAAAAAAATCAATTTACAATATTGTATCTTTGTTGATTATTCTCAAACTTTTAAACATTTTGGTTTGAAACATTCTGTCAAACATGGTGCGCGCAACTAATGTTGAATACATATACTCATAAAAATATACATCAGGGAGTCTTGAATGTTAGATGAAGCACTTAAAAGCTTATTTTATACAAATCCATCTATTGCCACACTTGCCACATGGGGCACTTTGGTGCAAATGAAAATTTAGGTTAGCAAACAGTTAATATTTGGATGGAATCTAGCCACTTCCATTAGGCTAGTGAAGATGCAAAAATATATTCAAAACAAATATCACATAAGCGTGACACATTTCTAGAACCAGCTGAAGTTATTAGGTGCATTATATATTTTATCGACTATATATTTTTACATTTATTTATTTTTAATGCTGACGTTTGTAGGATCTTGTAAAGCTGATGTAAACTACAGCCATGCTTAAAATCTCA